TTCTTTCTTTCTTTCTTTCTTTCTTTCTTTCTTTCTTTCTTTCTTTCCCTTTCTTTCTGCCCCCTCCTTCCATTCCCCTTTCTTCCTTTCACTTCCTTTCTCTCTCCCTTTTCCTTTCTTTCCATTTTCTCTTTCTTTTCTTTCTTGTATCTTCCTTCTTTCTTTCTCTCTCACTTTCTTTCTCTCTCCCCCTCTCTCTTTCCCTCTTTCTCTTTCTCTTTTGTATCCTCTTCTTTTTCTCTCTCCCCCCTCCCTCTCTCCCTCTTTCTTTTTCTTTCTTTCTGTCCCTTCCTCCTTCCCTCTCTCCTTCTAAAGCTAGGAAGCCCACCTGAAACACACACATAACCACACACCCAGGGGTGGGATTCTCTCTTTCCCTCTCTTTCTTTCTCTTTCCCTCTCTCTTTCTCCCCCTCTCTCTCTGTCTCCCCCCTCTCTTTCTCTCTCTCTCTTTCTCTCTCCCTCTCTTTCCCCCTTTCTCTCTCCTCCCTCTTTCCCTCTCTTTCTTTTTCTTTTTGTCCCTTCCTTCCATCCCCTCTTTCTGACTTTCACTTCCTTTCTCTCTCCTTTTTTTTTCTTTCTTGCTCTTTCTTTCTTGCTCTTTCTCTCTCAATCTCCCTTCCTCTTTCTTTTTTGCCCTTCCTTCCTTCCCTTCCTCCCCACCCCCTCTCTCTCTCTCTCTCTCACACACACACACACACACATGAGTGGGTGGCGGGAGAAGAAGAAAGTGCACATCCCCAGAAGTTACCATCCTCATTGCCACTTGCTTCTCCAGGGGCTGCTCACTTCATCCAGTGGCACTGGGCAGAGGCATCAGTTATGGGAAGTGGGTGTGAGAAGAAGAAAGTGAACAGCCACGACCTCCCTTTCAGATCACAGGAAAGCCCCAGCCAGTGGCCAGGCGGGAGGAAGCCCAGGATGGGCGCAAGGTGGAGGAGGCACTGAAAAATCCCAGGTGGTGGGGAGAGGCACAGATAGACCCCCCCTCTCTCTCACACAGACACACACATGACCGGACAGCAGGAGAAGAAGAAAGTGAGCAACCCCTCCCTTTCGGAGCCCCTCTGCTGCCACTTGCTTTTCCTGGGTGGTGACAGTGCTCACCCCCACCTCACCCCAATCCTCCCAAAGGAAACAGGTGGCTTTTGGCGGGGGGCGGAGACACCCCCCGCCCGACTCCGATCCTCCCAAAGGTAACAGGTAGTTTTGGCATGTGGTAGCAGCAATGGTGGCAGGGGTTTTTGAGCACCCCCGCCCCACCCCGATCCTCTGAAAAAAAAACCAGACATGTGGCAGTGGCCATGCATGTAGGGAGGGTGGGGGCGTGCTGCTCAAGGTCTGCAACTTACTGCACTGCAGCCACCAAGTGGTAAGGAGAGCTGGTGTGCCACGTGGTGGCGTAGCCAGCCAGCCGAGGCCAGGGATGGGTGGGTCAGGTAGGTAGGCTGGACAAGGCCCTGGAAGCCCCGGAGATGGCAGCGGGAGGCCCAGGGAGTGCCAGAGATGGCTGCAGGAAGTTTGAGGTGGCCTGGGGACAGTGGGGGAAGGGCTAGCATCACTTGCAGGCTTACCTGTGAGCTGGCAGAGTAGCAAAGAGGCTTATGTCACAGTGAAAGTCAGGCAGCAATCGCTGCCCTGGTGGGTGGGCAGAAGCAGACTTCAGGCATGTCACGCATGCACAATAACAAAAACTGGTTCCGGGAGTGAAGGAGCAGGTGGAGAGGGGTGGGGCCAGCCATGGGTCCATTTTACTGTTTCTCTGAACTACTGGGAACCATAACAACCGGTTCTATAGAACCAGTACGAACCGCTAGAATCCCACCCCTGAATATATCCTCTCCTCATTTAGGGACTGTAATTTATTCCCTAGTTTGGGAGCAAAGTGGTTTTTAAGCAAATGGGGTGGGGGGGAGAAAGATTATTTGTTGCTGTTCTGCTATCTAAATAAAGTTCTCTCCTACTATTACTCTCAAAATTAATCCCACTCTCCTGCTGTTCTGATTTTTTTATGTTCAGTGCTTATATATGAATGCTGATATGTGATGTGAACTTTATAATCATTGTTACCCTTGTCTCGATTAGCTATAGACAAGATGCTTTAGCAGTAAATGTCATCCTCTTGGGAGCTGGTAACAGTGTTGACAGCTGCAAATGTCTTCTCCTGAATCTTTCCTTTGGATATGACCATGCTAATCTTTCTAGCTTTTTCTTCTTTGTTTCCCACAATATTTTCATATTTCTGCAATCCTAAAGGTTATCCAATCCTATGTTGGATTATTCCAAGCCTGCCACTATCTCCTTTTCTTTTAATGACAGTTAAGACAGTCAACCTCAATGGAGTTTAAAGAAAGGAATGGAAGCAGCAAAATAAAGATTATATGAACATTTTGCCAGGATTTGCTATTGCTTGAAATGCATTGAGTCAGTTCCAGATCTCTAGTTATTCAGGGACAGTACTAGAAAGAAGGTGTGATTAAAGGTGGTTTTATGTAATGTTGCCATCTTTTAGAGACTCCTCAAACCATCAATTTGTAATGGTATAATATACTTTTATAGCTTTTCTACCACAAATTTGTAGCATAGTCTCAGGCTATGTTTTTCTTTATCCTCTTCACTAAAAGAGCTACTCAAAATTTGAACTACCTCCCTGCCTTATGAAGTAATAGCATATATTCTTTTTTAGGAATGGCTTTTGTTTTTCTAAATATGAAAATATATTTGATAACAAATGTTAAAAAAAAATTAATGCCAATTTCAAACAGATGGCAGAGAATCTAAACGTATCTGGGAGGATATAAAAGTTGTCAGGATTGGCATGGGCAAACAAATAAAAAATAATAATAATTCCAAACCAACACGAAATAAAATATGGCTTCCAAGTTCTAATTTAGCAAGTCTTCTTCCATGCAGTCGGTCTTTCTGTTGTCTGAAAGTCTAGAGTTTGCAGTCAATAAATATTGTAACAAGCTACTACTCCAGCTGTTGAAGCCAAAAGATAGTGGACTGTAGAAGAATGAAGCAAGAGATAAATGGCAGAAAGCTTTTGTTTTTAATCTGATTCTGCTCTATGAAATATGTAATCCACAGTTTCTTCTAGACAGTGCATTGAATCTGCTGTTGCTGCAAAGAATTCTGCCTCTCAGTTTCTTATCACCATCCTTTTTCAAAATTTCTATTAAGAACCCAAAATAATAATTGTCTGATTACTGAAGGATCTAATCTGGGTTGGTCACCATGACCAACCCAGATCAGATCCTGCAACATTTTTCTGGGTCATGCATACTTGCCTTTATTCATGTCTGATTACTAATACTTGCCAACCTATTTCTCTCAATTCTTGCTTGCTGAATTTCTTACTTTTAATGCTCTCTAGCTTTTGTACACTCCGTGTTTTCATATCATGTCAAATATATCCATGTCTTTGGTGGGGCCTACAGCCTTTCTTCTTTTATCAATAGTAAGCTCTATGGATGGTGATAGTGTGTGTGTCTCTTCTGCTTCCCGAAGTCCTAAGGCTCTCTAATTCATCTTCCAGTCATTTACTTTCTGGTGAGTCTATTCATCTTTTTGCATGGTGTGACAAGCTGCACTCAGATATTGCTTCCTGCTGGCTGTGTACATATTCATACAGAAAACCCAACTTTATTCATTCAAAGAAGTGCCAGCTGACAACCTGACTCATAGAGAAATAGTTTCCAATATTTGTAAGCCCTTCCTTAACTCCTGTGATGACCCAGAGTGCACCACAAATGTAACAAAATCCGAAATGTAAATAAATGTCCTTTAATGACCCCAACTTGACCCCACTGTGCTCAATAATGCTCAGTTGGAGATAACATGTACTCAAAAATAGTCTTCAAAAAAAAGCAATACAGTCTGAATTCAATGAGCAGATAGAGGTGAAATAAAAAACCAAACAAACTACAATGACGAAATTTCCACAATGGAACAGGAGAAGTATTTACCAAATTCAAGGAGATTACAAGGCATAGTCTGTTGGAAGGACGCCAACCAATATAACTTCAGACCAAAATAAAACACACTTTGTTTCCAGCATTTGCCAGTACACAGGTCCAAACTCTTATGCAGTTCTCACACCTGCAGCCCATGAAGAGGATCAAGGCCCTCTCCTCTTGAGTAGACCACATCTCTCCCTTATCCTCTCTTCCCTGTGTGCCCTAGGATAGATAGGGGATGGGCCTGGGTCCTCCTCTGACTGCTCAGCCTGTCTCTGCCCTTCTCCAGCCTCCTCCACAACCTCCAGAGCCACACTTCCACTCCCTTTTGGCTGTTCCTCCTCTCCCTCAGAATCAGTCTCCACCAGGGGCATGACAACTCCAAACTATTCTATCTGAATAAGAAGATTGGGAATAAACCATGACAATGAGGTGGTAGCTCAAAAAGTTGAACCTTATGCCATAATAGGTAACAATCAACACTTTAGGTTGCACCCAAAAGCCTACTACAACTAATGCAGATAATGCTTCCATTTCCTATCACCTACACAGAGCTGAAGAAGGTTCTTGGATGAGAAGCAAAACATCTTCAAAGAAAAGCAAGAAAGTCCAGTTGCCTTTTGAAAAAGCACCTTTGGGACAACCATAACCTGGATGATTGAAAATCTCCACAGACATTTAGCTATGCACTTTGAGATGAACACTTTTCGAATGGCATAGGAGCATGAATGGATTCCCAGAAAAATTGCAGA